TTATTCTTATTCTTATTCTTATTCTTATTCTTATTATTAAAAACACCAGGCACAGTCAATCAAAACTATAAAAAATTCACTAGTATTATATAACAGATACAAACTTTAACAAAAAAACTAAGTATTATTGTAGTATGTAGTATGTATGCTGTTCCTAATATTGTCATTTTTTGTAGTTCTGCTTATAGCACTGTGTGAAATTTCTGGATATTGCTCCCAAAGCCCCTATGACTATGGGTACCACTGAAGTGTGTTTCTTTCAAAGGTGAGATATTTCGATTGCCAGGTCTCTGTACTTTGTTAGTTTTTCTAATTCTTTATTTTCAATTCTGGCATCCCCCGAAATAGCTATGTCAATGATTCATTCTCTTACTACTATGTCTGGTGTGTTAAATTGCTATGTCAATGATTCGTTCTCTTACTACTATGTCTGGTGTGCTATGTTCAAGGTGTCTGCCCATTTGGATCCAAAAATCCCACAAGATCTTGACTTCCTCATTTTCGGACACCTTCTCTACCTGATGTTCCCATAGGTTTTTGGAGGCTGACAAGTTATAATTTTTTGCATAATGACCAGTGCATCAACTTCGCCACTCTATCATGCCTAACTTTGTAATCTGTTTGTGCAACCTTTGGACATTCACAGATGAGGTGTGACACAGTTTCATCTTTTTCTTGGCAGAGTTGACATTTGCTGTTAGCACTAACTCCTTGGATCTTAGCTTTCATCACGTTGGTTTGGAGTGCTTGTTCTTGTGCAGCAAAAATCAAGCCTTCGGTTTCTTTCTTAAGGGTCCCCAGTTTTAGCCATGTTCATGTTGAATTATGATCATGCTTTCTCAGGTGTTGTCCATGTAGTGGTTTATTTTTCCAGCTGTTTTATTTTCAAATTGTTGTTTCTTACATTGAGCTCTTCTTTCTGTTGTTTTTAAAATATTCTCCATTTTCACTGCCTTAAGTAATTTTTCTCTGCTTGTACTGATATAATCATTTAGGCTTCTTTTTTCCTCCTCTACTACCTCCTGTATTTACAGTACTCCACAGCCACCAATTTTTGTGGTAAATTTAACCTGTCCACATTGATGACGATGATGATTACGCCTTAGATAATACTGCCAGCATCACTTTTAGAAACATTTTTAAAAATCACACTCCCCCCCCCCATATCTTCATGTTTCCTGAGCCATGGTCAAGTAGCTAGTTTGGGTGTTTTATATGGTCACTGCCTCCAGGAAATTAATTATACGTTTGTTATATAGATTAAGAAATGTTTGTTATATTTTACAAAAACACACATTGTTTGCTGAACATGATATGTGCAACCAATATCTTACACTGTTTTCTCAACCACCATGTATGTTCCATTTTAAGTTCTTTTTGTAACAGGTTACATAATAAAAAGGTTGGAATAATAATAATAAAAGCAGGTTAAAGATATTTTATGCAGCCTCTCAACTATGAAAGTCATCATCTAACTTTTCACAAACTTATCAAATTCCAGCTTTCTCTCTTTCCCCATTTCTCTTTGTCATGATGTATTCGTCAGAGCTCTCATCTACCACAGCTCATATCATTTCATATCACATCTCCCCCTAACCAAAACCCTACCTCTAATCTTTTCTCATTGCCATCTATTCCTATCCAAGTCTTCAGAATCGTATTTGACATCCTAAACGCTCACAGAGTCTTATATGTACTCTTTCCCATCCCACTGCAATTGGGTGGAAATAGCTAATCAAAACAAAGTTCTATGGAAGCAGTTTCCTCTTCACCCCAACTGTCATAACTGTCCTATCTGTCAATCATTCAGCGCACCTTTATGACTGTAGGATGACAATCTTCAGATTATTTACAAGGTCAATTTATGTGTGTGTATCTGTGTTTGCGTGTGTTGTTCATCTTCTTATGAAAACCACGGAGTAACACTTTCAGTGTTTCCTGTATGAAATCGATTTGTTTCTTCCCTATTTGCAATTAAAACTGTCAGGCCTCGGCAATATTTTATGTAGATTCATTAGCATAACGAACAGTCAGTTCCTGCCACTTTATGCTAACTAGACGAGGCACTTGTAAGTTGTACAAGCTGATCTGTTCTGCCTTTGATATTCACTGCAAGAAAGATGCTCTAACAGAATATATGCTCTGAACAAATGTTAAACATAATTGGAATTCAGCCAATTTTCAAATGAAATAGAAAAGAATGCAACCAACAGAGGACTTTCTCGGGAAAATGTAAAGCTTTTTGTAATGTTTTACTATACTGGTATAGTTTCTGAATGATGTACTAGTTTCCATCCACCTATAAGTATGTTTTGTTATAGTGCTGGGCATGTGTTTTTCATGACATGTGCAGCCCATGTGACTTATCTTAACACCCTTCTCTCAACCACCATGTATGTTCCATTTTAAGTTCAATCTAGGACTACAAGATCATGTTGCCATGAAGGCCTTCTGATTCCTTTTCTTCTTTCTTAAGCTTCCTTCTTCTTTCTCTCCCAACTGATTATGCAAATTTCTTCACCACCTCTGCTGGCTAAAATAGCTCAAGAAATCCCATTCCCTGCAGTCAGTTCCCACCATTATGTACTTACTAGTAGCAAAATCTTATTTAGTAGGAATGCCATATCCACAGGGGATTGGCTCCATGATCTACCGTGGATGCCTAAAACCACAAATATGAGGCAATCTTATATACAGTATTTTTCCATGTATAAGACTATACTTTTGTCTAAAATCTTTAGAGTAAAAATTGGGTGTCATCTTAAACACGGAAGTAAGCTGAGGCGCGAACAAAAACAAGTGGGAGGAAAGCAGGGATCAAAGCAATCCTGCGGCACTTTGATCCCTTTCCCCCTACACTTGCTAAGCCCCACTTATTTGTCTTAATTTTGGATTTAAAAAGTGGGGGGGGTCTCATACATGGGGGTGTCTTATACACGGTACAATATACAGCAGGGAGGGACAAAGGCCACAAGGGGGCACCCTTGCATGTTATGTATAGGGTTGCCTTGTATCTGTGGTTAAACTGTGGATAAGTGAAACCGCAAATCCAGATCCTACAGATATTTGGGTCCTACTGTATTTTTTCTAGCTTGCAGTTTGTTCCTGCTTCCTGGAGAAGCCAAAGACAGAAGAGAATGAAACACCACCTGTTCCTCCCAAGGAGGACCCAGTCCCTCCAGGAGACAACAACTTGGTGGATGAAGAACCTCTCACTAGTGACTCTGGATATTAGAACAAAGGAAAAATAAAGAAGGCAGTTTGGGTATTTTTTTAGGCCAATTACCTGCACTAAATATGTGGAGCTAAGCAAAAGCCGGGATGGGGCCCCATGCCATAGATATATAATTCCCAGGCTGCCAGGTTGGGAGAAGGGAAGATATATAACAATTTTACTTTTTGCTGTATCTGTTCTTGCATTACATGCACAGCCTGAACCCCCTGTTTATCAATTTGGACTGTTGGCAACGTGTTTCCGTTTGCACTCTCATAGCCCAGTTAATATGCAGAGGACTTTCGGTTCTGTGTCCATCCTTGCATGGGCTTGGAAACCCTGCTCTGACTACTCTCTGGTTGACCTAGATTGGCTGAGAACTCACTATTGGTCCTGGTTATGGACCTTTGCTGCCTCTGAACATGACAGGTAAGCAAAAGAATGATCTTCTGAAATCCTTGTCTAAAGAAAACTTCATTTCTATTACACAGAGTGAGAAGGAACGAAACTAGGGATAGGATTTTTTTTAATTTGGGGGGTTCCTACTCCCAGCATCCACCTGAAATCCCCAAGGCAGAATTCTGTGATATGTCTTCTCAAACCAGAAAGCTATCTGGGAATTACGAGGCATAATGAGTGGGGTAGTGTCCATCCTAGTATAGGAGGCCTCCTATGCAACCACTCATGAAGCCTAGAGACTCCCAGGGAGTTTTTTTAAAAAAACAAACACAAAGATTCAGAAATGTACAGACAATTTGATGGGCACAGCGAAAAAGCAGATCAGAAGATCTAGGATGCAGGGTGGGTAGACTTCTGCACATACTATATACTATCAGGAATATAGGTTAAATTCCCTTCCGTAGCTGTTGTCAGGTGACTAATAGAAGGGCTCCAAGCAAGGTGATCACCGAGACAGGTGTAATCTTTGAGGGATGTTTTTGCTTCATCCGTGCAGGAGCCCAAGCTTATTTCATGTTTCAATTATATTTGAGTTTCATCCAATTTTTTCCCCTTAGCATCCTTCAATCTCATTTCTAGCATATAGCTGGGGCATGAATCTGATAAAGAAAGAAGTGCAACACTTTTCCTTTCTCCACAGGCATTAGTCCATCTAGTAAGCGCTTCAACATGTTTCTTGCTTTCGATGCCTCCAGCCACAGAGAGACTCAAGTTGGTGCTCAGCTTGAATAGCGCCACCTCCTTCTCAGCCTATCCTCATGTAGGTTTCTAGTTTTTATTCATACTAGACCACACCGAAGTATTTGGAATTAGTTTATATCTGTAGACAAATAATGACAATGGGTTTCATAAATCCTTGCTCAAAATGCCTGCACTGGAAATAGTGTATTCAAAACATCTATTTGTTGATCTTTATGTTAGCCAGGGTAGAAAAATCCCAGGAACTGTAAGATACACAGACCAGGACAACCTGGAATCATTTTATCTCTCTTGCATAATACTCAGATTATATCTAATGTCAGTTCTACTTAAGTAGACTTATTGACATAAATGGGACCAACAGATTCCAACACTCGTGGCTGTCAGGGCCTTCCTGAAGGCAAGCAAGCAAATGCTCCTGGTAGCTCCAGACCCTTGAATGAAAGCTATTATTTGAGATTAAACTATGAAAGAAAATGTAAGCCCTAAAAGGCCCCCAAAAGGCCCTAGGGGTTTTCAAGGCCAGCCCATATTATTTCATTGCCTGAGACAAATGACAAGAGGGCACATTTATTATTTCATGTACAGAAGCTGATTGGATGGGAGTTTAATCTGTAGCAAACTAGTGAAGTGGGCCTAGGGTGCGTCACATGGTTCTGTCTTCCAGTAAAGGGCTATAATGGATGGAGGAGACAAAGAGGAATGGATGCTGCCAGTGCTGCCACCATGCTGCATTCACAAGCACCTTTTGCCTCTGGCAGCTGCCTAACGGTATCCCCTCCCTTTCAGAAGATAACTGCAAATTACAGGAATATATAGCAATTCTGTGTTCTTTCTATTGTTTCTAAAGATGTAATTACACTAGCTTGATCTACAGCCTCTTTTGCAACTCCATTCAGTTTAGGTTACCACACGAAGACCCCATGTTGTTTCAGTACTAATGTCCACACTAGACCCTCAATCCTATGCCAGTTTGATCTCCTATCACAACCCATCTTCCTTTGATACTACCTTCCTGCTGAACTCCAGGTCTCCTTTTATGGTCATGCCACCAGGACTGTTTAAAGGATGGCACAGTGGTAGAGAAAAGGGGATAGATTTCCAAATTCTCCATACATGGACCAACATACATACATACCCTGGAAACATTGCCGAAGGTCATCACACTTGTTTTGATTTTATATCAGTTTATATATCTATCTATCTCTTTTTTGCTTGTGTAGAGGTGATTTAGCATGAAACTGATGTAGAAATGCAGTGATAAGGTAATGTAATGCTAGGCTCAATTGTTAGTTACAAAATTAAAAAAAATACTTCAGGGTGACTAGGGAGAAAGATTGTGGAGGGTGTTCCTGCTGTCCCAGATAATCCCACCCCAATGTACTGCATCACCAGGGAACCACCCCAAAGTCATGCCACCCAGTCCTTTTGTAGAACAAAACAGTCACACAAGCAAAACTCTGTTCAGATTTTTGCAGTCAGAAAAAAAGTAGAAGCCCTTACTGCAGGGAGAAAATGCATAGATTGAGAGGAAAAATGGATAGGCTGATTCACATTGAATCATTCATCATAGGCATCTTTCAATCTTGAGAAACTATAGCAACGTGCTCTGTATGGAGGACTTGGAACAGCGTCTGGTGTTTTGACGCGGTACACAAAGCTGGAGTGTCAAAACACTAGATATGGAGGATAGGCTGTTACCCAACCAGCAAATCCCCCCTCTCCACGTCACTGAAATAGTCCAATGGAGAGGCAAGAGCCAATACAACTGGTTTCAGCGACGTTGCAGGAGTTGACAGAATGACACAAACTGCGTCCGGGACTCCGGCTCCAGATTTTGCCTCGAGGTTAACTCCTGAAGCCTTTTCCATCAATGGATAGAGCCACAAGGCAGTGGAGATTTGAAATCAGAGTTTTCCTTCTCCTAGATGGGCTGCCTTCCAGGGCTGAATGAGTCCCACCTACCCGGCATTGAATAATTAAGAATACTTTAAATACACCCGTGTCAATCTGCAAAGTATTTCCAGTGTGGCCCCACACAAAGTCAGTTCATAATGAATTTAGGGTGCAATCTAAACTGTTACATCTGTCAGATCCACATCTTGTTTGCCTATCTTCTTTTAACCAGGTTTAAAAGAGGACAATCATTTGGAGCTGGATTGCAACAATGAAAGTGGTCAGGATGGACTATAGACAAAAGATGGGCAGGGGGATAGGAATGCAGAAGTAAATCCATTCCCCCCCACACACACAAAAATGTTTCCAGAATGAGTCATCACTTACTAATAAATGGAAGCCATCGATGTTCCATTGCAACACACACACAAATGTTTCCAGAATGAGCCATCACTTACTGATAAATGGAAGCCATCGATGTTCCATTGCAAGAGCATGTGATTGTATTGTCAGTTGCAAGACAGAACAACAACAAAAGCAATTAAAAAAAACAAAACAGCACCAAGAGCAAGAATCAGTTGCAAGACAAAACAACAAAAGCAATTTTAAAAAACAAAACAGCACCAAGAGCAAGAATAACAAGAACAAAGATATCTCGTGTGTGTGTGTGTGTGTGTGTGTGCAGTCTGTACAGCCAGAATAATTTTGCAGTACAAAATTGTTGTTGCAATTATTTATTTGATATACAGTATATATTGCACCTTTCTTCTTGTAGTCAAAGTGCTTTTAAGTCCTCAGAAAATTGCAGCAGGAGGGAAACTTGAGTCCATGCAGCCCTTTAAGGGAGCAGTCTGTTTAAGGTCTCGGATCCTACCAGGAAAAAGGAATAAATCCTGGAAATCCACATATCAGGACTTTCCACAGTATTTCATTATCAGTTTTTGAAACTTCCAAAGTAAAGTTGGTGATTGCTCTTATTTTATCATAAGAGCTGGTTCCTCCTTGCACTAATGCACACATCCTTTTTAGCTCCCACCAATTATTTGCAATATGTACCTGTCAGCTTGTATTTTTAGTGATAACCCAATTAAGGAACACATTGCTCTTCTTTAATTGCAGCCTTTTCCTTAGGAAATGCTGACTAGTGAATTTGGCGTCCATGGCTTGAACAGAAAAAAAAGCCATAGTTGTCACTGTTGATTAGGGGGAGAAAACACAGGTAAGGCCTAATATACATTGCTGTGACTCTCACAGTAATGACCTAAATTCTTTCTAAAGTGATACATTAATCCAGTAATGCTGTTTTATACGCCCTCCTGTCATGAGGAAGACATTGCAAAGGAAGAAAAAAGGGTAAGTGTCGCACAGTGATCCAGCGAACTAATTGGATTACCGAGGATAAGGAAATCTAATACTTGTTCTTTCGGCTTATCCAACTACACACAAGCAAGCACCTTGCCTGCTTGTACGGCTGGACATACTGCTGTGAGAAAATACTCTGGCTTTGAGACACAATTAAGAAAAGCAGCTCAAGAGCATAGGAATGTTCACCCACATGCAGATTAAGAACATTAGAGGAGCCTTTCTTGTCCGTCTAGCCTAGTACTGCCTATATTGACAAACAATCGGTTCAACAGATCTCTCCCATTAACTGCAGTCTGAGTTTTAATGGGAAGTACTAGCCAAAGGTGGAATCTGGGTCATCTGCAGGTAGACATGTAATTGTCTGCAATTGATAGAGCAATACCGTAGTGAAGCTTGGGAAAGAAAGAAAGAAAACAAAATCTAAGTCAAGATTCTTAGTCAAGACAGTCCTGGAAGTCTGCATCATCCTTGGCTACAGATAACAGAAAAATATGTTGGAAGAGTGTTTCAGAAGTATGTTGATCAATCTTAGGAGATTCCTCCATGTGTCACTGGGACTATGACCAGCTATAAATGGTTGTTTGCTACCTTTTCCATCTGACAATAAGGATGGTGTCTCCCCGGGCAATGCAGGGCTGATCACACCTGGCTTTGTTGCTTCTTTTTCCATATCCTACACTGAGGGTACCTGCCTTACCCCCCCTTCATAGTAGGTCAGGCCTTGTTTGGGATGGCCGCGTAGTAGACATACTCTCCAGATTGTTGCTACGCCACTATGGTATCACTGGAAACTTTAAGAAAACAACCTATATTTTCATGATAGGCACAACATAAGAGATTTATCCAGCTAACATATGGTTGTTTGATGTGATCTCCACAGTATGTACTACAAGAGTTAATAAAAATTAGGATTGCTTTTAAAAAGGTATTGTATGGCTACTGGTTTTAATTTGCATGGAAATATATATATATATTGAACAAAATGTGTGTTTCTATGAAATCTGGTAAAAAGTAGCTCTTGTACTTTGAATACAGAAGATCAACTGGTCTTATCCCTAGGCATATGTACCAAAGATGTCATACATTTATACCTCTTCCCAGGTGGCATCATCCTTGCGGCAACCACCATGGTGGTTGTGTTTCCTTTCATGTTACCATTTTGTGTTATCCCAGTATGCTTCTGAAATATTGTCAGTTTCAATTTACATAGGTAAGAAGGCAAAAATCTTTCAGATGAATGAAAACAACTGATTTAAATATGGCCCTTAAAAGGGTGGGTGAGGGAAATGCAAACAGCTCTACAGATTTGTATGTGTGTATACTATTGAGATACTGAGAAAAGGTATCTTAGGGCCCAAAGAAAGATAGCTTTGGCTGCTATTTTTCATCTTTTGCATGCAGAAGAATTCTGTAACACATATGCACAAACTAAAATTACTGGACTGTTCTTACACTGAACATGGATAATAGAATGAGTTTATTCATGCTTAGTTCTGAGATCTGCCTGAAAGGAAAATAATGGTAGTTACCACTACTTCTACAAAGAAGCGCTAAGTGTTCAGAACAGAGGGACAATTGGTTCCTTTGCCTTTTGCAATGAAAACACCTTGCTGCAATTCAACATCTATTCAAAGTTGTAATTACACCATGGTACAAAGAATGCACTAGGAACTCATTTAGTTTGTCTATTTTCTGGTCCTCTGTATCTTCTCAGTCATTCTGCCCTTTCTCTTATGTTTTGTCAGCCACAGATTGAGAACTTGTGACCATCCAGATATTGATGAATTGCGGCTCCCACCCTTGACACTCTCCCTTGACTCTGCTGGGTAAGGCTAATCAAAACTGCAATTTGGTGACATCTAGAGTGCCACATGCTTCACCTTGGACCACTTAATTAAAACCAGAATACTTGTTTCTCCGTTCTTATGACCCTTCCTAAGTCTTGATGAAACCTTCACTGCCAAGGGGGCTTAGACATCCTAACCCAGCCATATCAGCCATCTTCACCACTGTTGACATTGCTATTAGTATTATTGAATATATATTTTTGGAATAAGCGGGTCTATAGCAAAATGATCTCATTTCAACCAAAGGACCCAAGTTATAGTAATTAAAGTGTATGTGTGCTGTCATCATTAAAGATCAATAGTGGCCTTAATTGCTTAATTTATAAACAGAAAACATTAAAAGATTTTAAATGAATGTTAAGTAACAGAAATCAATCTAAATTAGCTTTGCTCATTCAAGGAAAGTGAGGCCATTTTTAATTACAAGTTTCCATAAAATGAGGAATATGCCATAAAATACTTTTCCCTTGCTTTCTTCTGAGGGTTGCCACTATTTTCCTTTTTCCTTCTTCTGAGGCTATCAGTACAGTGGTGCCTCGACTTATGACCATCCTGACATACAACCATTTTGAGTTGTGACCAGCTCTGGCCTCAAAATTTTGCTTCAACTTGCGACTGGAGCTTCGATTTTCAAACAGAAAAGTGGCAAGGAAAAAAGACAGGGAATTCAAATTAGAGTACTAATTAATTGTTGTAAGCTGCCCAGAGACCTCCGGGTAGTGTGGGCGGCATATAAGTTAAATAAATAAATAATAAAAATGAATGCCTTTTTCATGCTTTTTCATAGGGAAATGAAACATTCAAGAGAACAAATTAGGGCATAACACTAGTTTGACGTTTCCGTGGAGCCGGATACAATAGTGTCATCCCTCATACCTGCTATAGGTAAATAAATAAATAAATAAATAATAACCATTGGTCAGTGAAGAGTTTCTTTGTAGCTTTTTCACCCCTACGGGTATGTTTCTGTGCTGTGATGTTTTTTGGTGTGTTTGGTGTGTGTTTTTTGTCCAGCCCCATCACATTCCGATGGCGCTTGTTCTGTTTGTTTGGTTTGGTTGGTTGGTTGTTTTCTGCCCCATCGCATTCCGATAGGGCTTCCTGTGCTGTTTATTTTTGGGTGTTTTTTTTTCTTTCAACCCCATCGCATTCCAGTGGGGCTTCCTGTGCCATTTATTTTTTTTCTTTCAGCGCCATCGTGTTCCGATGGGGCTTCCTGTGTTGTTGTTGTTGTTGTTGCTGTTGTTGTTGTTGCTGTTGTTGTTGTTGTTTTGAGTTTTTTTTTTCAGCCTCATCACGTTCTGATGGGGCTTGCTGTGTGGTGTTTTGTGGGGTTTTTTTGGAGGGAGGGTTAATTTTCCCCCCGACCAGAGCGGATTAATGGGGTTTAAATCTATTTCTATGGGAAATGGTGCTTCAACTTATGGCCATGTCGAGTTACGCCCATCTTCTGGAATGTATTATAAGTCGAGGCACCACTATATCTGTAATTTCAAGGGACTACCCTTCAGACTGACAACAAGCAACATGTCTGGGACTTGGAATTTCTGAACTAAGACCTACTACCATGCAGGCCATACACTTAGTTACTAGCTCACATCTCCATATGTAAATATTCTTCCTTCTGTAGAATCCATAGGTCTAGTAGTCTAGTTAACCTGCAGTCTGTTCTGGAAAAACCAAGCAACACTGTCCTGACACCTTCAAGACTAACAGGATTTATTTGGTATCACATTTTATGAACTGCAGCTTTCCTATGCAGTGGCTCTAGTCACTGTACAGTTATAGCTGATGAGAGTTCCCCCCCGTTTGCTCCCCCTTAGAAGTGAACAACAGAGACTGCTTTTTAAAATTGCTGTTTTCACTAGTTTTAAAACTACACCCATGATTCCCCATGCTGTAGTTCTTCCTCTTAGTCCTGTCATATATATTTGATGTCTGGTGAGGTAGAGAAGAGAGGTAGGGGATTGAAAGGACCGAAGGACCACCTGGTTGGAGAGAAATAAAGATCACCAAGTGGAAAAAAAGAATTGGGTAGGGGAGAGATGAGGGAGGAAACACTGGGGTAAAAGAGGATTAATGATTTTAAAGTTAGGCCTAGCTGGATCCTTTTGCTAGAAGATGTCTGCATATAGGTATTCTGTTACTGAACATTTCCTCTACCTAAAGTTGCTTGATAAAAGCAGACTCTTGTGTCCCAACACTGGCGTATATGTCTTCCTACATTTCAAAGGGAGAGAGAAATAGATGTAAAAACCTTCCATTTAAAGCTAAAAGGTATATACCCAAAGAAACAAAATGCACACCGCAAGTCAACCACTTTCCACACTAACTCAAAACATGAGAAGATGGAGGGACCCTACTTGTACCATAACTTCTACCCTCGGTAAACACAAGAAGTGTTTTTCAGTGGTTGATTCCACTACGAGAAATCTAAACTAAACTAAAATGCCTTAAACTGCGCTGAAAAAAAAAGAAAAGAAAACACATCTCAATCACGTATCACCCTCACTTGCAAATATGCTGCTGTACTCAGTTCCCTGAACTCAAAAGATGTATCCAAGTCTCTGGATCATTACAACCTGATGCCAAAGAATTACTGTTGCTTCAAAACTGGACAAAGTGTGATGATCTACATTCCAGAGCAGGTTATTTATGCTTGGGTAGCATAATATGTAGCTCAGATTTCAATAGCCTTGCTGAATATGTGACTGACTCTCTCCACAACTGATGGTGCAATTTATCTGTGAATTACACATGCCAAAATCCTCTTGCTCAGTTACACTGGTATAATGCAAAAACAAGCAAACAAACAAACAAAAATCAAATGTCATAATTTTTAAAAGTGGATACTATCAAATTGAGAAATCTCCCTAGACATTAGCTGCTTTATATTGAGTTGTGTGAAATCGTTGTCTAGTCGTTTAGTCGTGTCCAACTCTTCGTGACCCCATGGACCAGAGCACGCCAGGCCATCCTATCTTCCACTGCCTCCCGTAGTTGGGTCAAATTCATCTTGGGTGCTTCAATGACACTGTCCAACCATCTCATCCTCTGTCGTCCCCTTCTCCTCTTGCCTTCACACTTGCCCAACATCAAGGGCTTTTCCAAGGAGTCTTCTCTTCCCATGAGATGGCCAAAGTACTGGAGCCTCAGCTTCAGGATCTGTCCTGCCAGTGACCACTTTGGTTTGATTTCCTTTAGAATTGATAGGTTTGTTCTCCTTGCAGTCTAGGGGACTCTCAAGAGCCTCCTCCAGCACCACAATTCAAAGGCATCAATTCTTCGCCGGTCTGCTTTCTTTATGGTCCAGCTCTCACTTCCATACATCACTACAGGAAAAACCATAGCTTTGACTATTCGGACTTTTGTTGGCAAGGTGATGTCTCTGCTTTTTAAGATGCTGTCAAGGTTTGTCATCACTTTCCTCCCAAGAAGCAGGCGTCTTTTAATTTCATGGAATAGATAATATCTAAAAATATTTCTTAACTTGAGGTAATTCATCTCATAGAAATTATGCCTTTTATGTAGCTATACAAGAGGATTTTGGCCATAGTATTTACATGTAAAACACTATCCCAACTTGCTTATATAGGACTAAGTATATTAAATCCAGTGACAGTTCCTTTCCCCAGAATTGGATCATTTGGACTAAATTCATAAAGATGGCTAAATTATTAACAGGACTACACTGTCAACCTGTTTCTGGCTGTTGACCCTATCAAATCCAGTGTATTCTTTCAGCACTTCCACAGCAGCGGAGATGGGCTATGTAAGAAACAGGACGGCTAGAAGGATTAAGGGTTACAGTTTTTAATTAGCATGGATAGGAGGTTGATTTGTGATCCAGATTTGCTTACTTTAAAGCCATAATTTTGCTTATTTTAAAGCCAGCACTTTATGCTTTAGTTAAAGTTGTTTGCTTCCCTGTTTTGGAAGAAATATTCTCAACTAGGCCATAATTTTCCCATCAATGGTAGAACTGTGGAGGTTTCATTTTAACAATGAAAAACAATAGGCAACTGAAGCAGTCAGCGCTGAGTCAAACTCCAGTCCTATCCATCTTTTAAATCTGGATCATTCACCATACTGACAGATGTTGAATTTGTTCAATTTTAAAGCAATTATCGTGTGTTACTATTATAGACAGTATTTCACATTTTCAAATTAAATGAGTGTTAAAATGGCTTCTCTTTTACTCATAAGTGGAGCTTTAAACTGAACATTTGAATGATGCTTTAGAAGAATTGCCCTTTTTTCTGAGTTCTTCAAGAAGACACCTTAACTAAAGCATTGAAATATGTAGATTTATTTAACTTAAATCCACTGAGCCATTAAAGTTTTCATTTTCTTCTTCCACGGAACCTTCTAATGTCTAGCAGTCTCTATTTAAATCAATTTCTGTTTTGTAACCCAGTAAGTATTGCTCTGCAGTTTACTTCTGGTAACAAATGTGTAAGATAAACATTTATTTCCTATTTTCAACCTGTTTTCTATATGAATAATAAGGAAAGGGAAATCAGTTTTTGTATGATACCAATATAATGCTTTTCTTCCTAAATCAGCAGATGAAGAGTCACTTGTGGTTTGTAACACAACTACAAGGTGAAGTTGAGGCACTTTGTGTCACATCACAAAGAAATGAAGCCACTATTGCAGTCTATGTTTTCATTTTTGCTGTTCAGAATGCTCTGACAGTGTTCTAAATTAAAGGCTTTTGAGAATCCAAACTAATAAGTAAAGATGGCCATCTGTTAGAAATTCTTGTGTCTGTAGGGTTTTATACAGTACTGCTGGGCATGCACTGTATTTAATAACAGTGAAATAAATTTTGTCATCATACATAATACTAATCTTTACTGATCTTCTGCTCTCTAACTGCTGGAGCTTATGCAGTCAGAGGAGCAACATCCCCAAAGATCTGGCTTGGAGAAGAATATTGACAAGATTGTTTTTCCAGGGTGAAAGGCAAAGCTGCAAAGTGGTATATTTGCATAATTTATAAGTATATTGTGTGCCATAGCAACACAGTGCCTCTTATCTGTAAAATAATAATAAATAATAAATTTAAATAATATTTATTTTTAATTATAGAAACAGCATTGCTTTGAATACTAAATAATAATTAATAACCATTTAAAATGATAAAGAATAG